AAATGTCACAAGCGGCCTTTAAAGTTAAACCCGTGCGAATTCTGGGTAAGAATATTGGTCCCCAGGCTGCCGTTGTACAGGGCGATCTTAGCGCTAAGATGATCCTAACTCCCTACCTTAACACCGCCTTAACGTACTGCTACTGGTCCACGGGTCTTATTCATGACCTAAGCTCTGTTCCACGCATTCACGAACATAAAGGACAACTAAGATGCCAAAAACTACCACGATGCCAAAAATATATTGGAGGAAATTTATTATAAAACTTAATATTGCCATTTTGTTCAAGACGAAAATGAAGTTGATGAACTTCATCTCGGCGTAGGAAAAATGGCGTCAGCCAGTCTCAGGCCCGGACTCGTTTGAACCTCATGCTTCGGGTGGCCAAATCATCACTAAAAGTATATCAAACACTTTTTATGGCTGTATTTATCCAATAGATTGATCCTTTGCTTAGGCGTGAGATAATGACGAAAACAACCCGATCACCCCCTGCCGGTTAATGAACTATTCCCATGCCGCGCTCCTTTTCTGGCTGCAGTTGAAGTTACAATGCATTGAAAAACTCACTGTGGTCCTAACTTCTGTGGTTCTTGCTGATCAACAACCGCGAAATAATGGTTTAACTTTTCATGAGGAGTATTATCAAACGGATGCTCTGTTGTTAGTCTGACATATGTTTGGGAAATTAATATCTCGTAATGTGTATCGCTTGAAGTATGTTGTGAGGGCAACTGACAATAACGCAATTCGTTCGACTTTAATACTATTGAAGTGAATGTGTTTAAGAGCATCTAAATTTCAGTCAACCACGGCAGTCAAACAGCACTGATGACCTGACTCAGTGTGCCTGCATGATGGCGTCATGGTGTGTTTTAGGGGATAGTAAATACATAGCACCGAATGTCTTCGTGTTACAAGTCAGAAATCACGTACAACTTTATGGATAACAACTTCTGGTTTATTGCATACAGCGACGTTTCGGTGTCGATTTTTTACACTATTATCAAACTTGAGTGACAACAACCAAGTGATGAGAGGTATATATTACAAGTCTAACTGACTATCTAGTCCAGACTCGATCAAACAAACAATGAGTGAGTGAGTTGGGTTTAACGCCGCTTTTAACAATATTACAGTTATATCGCGGCGTGTCAGCTTAATGTGGGAGGAAAGCCCAAAGTGATGCAGGTCACAGACGTTTACCACTTCGGTGAAACCCACGGGCACGGGTATGGTGCTGACAAACCTAGAAACATAATCGGGGCGAACCGGGATTCGAACCCACAATCACAGATTTCTGGCGTGCCCAAGGGACGCAACTCTGCACAGCGAATCGCGGCGCCTTAGACGACTGGGCCACCCGTGCCCCCTCAAACAAACAAAGTCTGATTCGATACATATACATTGTGTCAAGGCAGTAGAGGGTATCATGCGAGTGTGTTTTGTGATGATATCCTGTACTCGGCATAAACACTGTATTTAGCTCGAGCGTGATAACGTCTTTATCATATCATGTCGACCCGTGAAGATCCGGGGTAGAATTGGTCTTCAGCAAACAATGCTTGCCGTAAAAGGCGGCCATGCTTGTCATAAGAGGGATCGGGTGGTCAGGCTCACTGACTTTGTTGATGCATGTCATCGTATTCCAATTGCCTGGATCAATGATTCTCATCATGTCAGTCACTGGATTGTCTGGTCCAGACTCGATTATTTCTAGACCGCCGTCTTATAGCTAGAATATTGCTGAGTGCGGCGTTAAACAACAAACAAACAAAACAACCCATTATGTCATTCATGAAGTCTGTCGTGGAAAAACCTGTTCTCATCTCTCACAAACATTGCAAGTTTCCTGGAAATGCGCGTATTAATAATATTACGTCAGAAGGATAATGATTGACAGTGACAACAGTCAATATAATTCCAAGTGAAACATGTTTCTTTGTGACGTAACTACTTATAGGTAAAACAACAAGTGCCTACACAAATTGTTTCTACATGCCTTTCGCAGTCGTTCCGATCTGCCCGCTAGAGTAACTGCCCTTTATCAAAGGGAAGCTACTCTAACTCTGAAGGAAGGAGACCTGAAGGAATTTTAGACTTCGTGACTGCATCGGGAAAATTTGATATAAAAATCTAACATATACATGAATGTATATTGACTTTTAAACCATTTTAACGGGTTTTTTTCTTTTTTGACTGATCTGCTTTTTAAAGGAATGAGTTCTTACTTTTCAGAAATGAAATAGTGATTACTTCCGGTTTTAAACTAGATTATGAAGCAGACTGGTTAATAATATAATTTCCAATACTCACCTTGCTCTTGTTTAAAGTCACTGTGATGCGTAAATATACCTTTAATTCTCCAAGTAGTCCTTAAACCCCAAATACCATAACATACCATTTTAGAAATCACGTTTATTTAAAGTTTGCCTGTCATACCGTTACGAGTCAGATGTACACACAGCAACCACATAAAACAGGGTAACAATTCGGACATATTTCGGCTGAACTCAACTGTTTTAATCAGGGGAAAAGGCCCCAAGCCGCAGAGGTCTAGACGCACAGATAGGGAGACTGATCCCGCTAGGCCAGTGTCTTCGCAATTTTTATCTCCAAAGTTGCCAAGACTTGTAAAATGTCTCAGTTACTTCTCACATAGACACTTATTTTCAGTATATTTTTCTATTGTTCCGAAACTGATAATTATTATTCCTGTAATTTATCTAAATTGCCGATTGGCAAGGGCGACGCCATGTTTGTTTGTGAACATTGGAAGTAGTACCTACCTGACCTTTCATATTTGCATCTTTATCCGTATATGACCACAACGGATACCGTTTTTATCCTACGGCTTTAACCAGCCTAGAACCCTACCCATTATATAGTAAATATATATTTGAAACAACCTTGTCGTGTGTTGATCATGGCCTCACGTTGTACGGTGTATTGTTCAAGCGTTATGAATGTTTATGGGGGAAAACACCACACGCCAAGTTTTAATTGCAAACCTGTTCTGCGTTCTTGAACTATTGATGAAATTCGAATACCGTTGAAATGAAACACTATAATAGCAACAAAAAAACTTATGATCCGTTTGTGAATGTAAGTGACTGAGCATGCAATAATGCATGTGAGAGCACCAGCCAAATTGGAACGACATTGTTCCGGGCAACTTGACGAATCCGAAACAGTTCGCTGACACGATGCACGCACATACGGGTGGTTCGTGAAAAGAGCATGTGCAGTGATATAACGTTTTCAGGAAAGGCCTATATAGGAATGCAAGGTCGTTTTGGCTAAAAAAAATTAATATGTTTTTCTATGGGAATTAGTCAAGATGTAAACGTCGTTACTCCTGCGTTCAAAAACTTAATCTACCTGAGTAAATTATGAAATAACATCATTTCACATATTTCACTTTAGTCTTTATTGTTGTGATTAGTTGTCACACTGGTAGTATGTACAATGCACCCCGCTCCAACCACACAGGGCTGTGGGAAGCATTTGTTGACTTGTCCACCCAGGCAGACATACCCAGCTACCCCCTGCTGTTAAATGGATTCTTGAACATGATGAGGTGGAAGTCCTGTGTGGACTCCAGATACTGCACGCTAGACAACATGTTCACACCCCGTGCACGACCCTCCGGTACACGGGGCCTGAATTATGTCGCTCTGGACAAATACATAGGGAAATAAAAGTCGGAGTCAAGTTAGGTGATCTTTGCTGTGTGGCACACCCGTTCCACTGAACAGCTGCAGTTGTGACATCAGTATCTGATTCAGTCAGAAATTAAGTGAGAATCTCACATTTGATAAGTGCAAGTTTAAATCAGAATTATGTTTCATAAGTATACGTTTAAATCAGAATTATGTTTGATAAGTATGCGTTTAAATCAGAATTATGTTTGATAAGTAGACGTTTCAATGAGAATTAAGAGTGTACATTCGTACATTGCTTTTTACATATGGCTTTGGTTTCGTTTTACGGTACAGGAATTTTCGTAACATAATTATTCGTTTTAGACCTGCTTGAATGATCTAAAAATTAACACAGGGAGATTTTCATCTGTTGAGAAATCCCTAAGGTTATGCCCATTCTGTGACATTGTTGTCGAAGATGAATACCATTTCATGTTTATTTGCCCTATATACGAAAATCTGAGAAACAAGAACTTTATCTCATGATAATGCTATAAGATTGTCTTCATTACTGTCCTGCAAGGATCTTCTAACACAACATCAACTGGCTTTGTGCATACATCATGTGTTTTTGTTACGAAGTGAATTCTTACCTTGACTTGGTATCTTATAAAATATGTTATGTAACTCCGTTGTATATGGGCCTGTGGCCTTTCATGCAATAAAGAATTGAATTGAGTGTTTGATAAGCATACGTTTAAATGAGAACTGAGTGTTTGATAAGTATACGTTTAAATGAGAACTGAGTGTTTGATAAGTATACGTTTAAATGAGAACTGAGTGTTTGATAAGTATACGTTTAAATGAGAACTGAGTGTTTGATAAGTATACGTTTAAATGAGAACTGGGTGTTTGATAAGTATACGTTTAAATGAGAACTGAGTGTTTGATAAGTATACGTTTAAATGAGAACTGGGTGTTTGATAAGTATACGTTTAAATGAGAACTGAGTGTTTGATAAGCACATGTTTAAATCCGATTCAGTATGTGTTTCAGTCAGCTGCAGATTGATGTATTTGTAAGAGACAAATACAGGTTAGTTTGATTCATTTATGTGTTAGCCATGTACAGGTATTCTGCATCCTTGATGTGAGCACTAGATTCGTATCACATCGTTAATCTGTGACTTCAGCAATATTTCATCAGGGTTGTTTAGTGCAGCCACACGGAGGAACAAACCAGATGTTCACTAGATATCAAGCGAGGATCAAATGAGATGCGGTTACTTCAGGATCAAACAAGGTGCTGTTACATCAAGGATCAAACCAGCTGCTATCATACCAAAGATAAAAAACGATGATCATGCGAGATGCCTTCACACCAGTGATCAAACCATATGTTGTCACACCAAAGATCAAACGGGAATCTAGCAGGCTGCCAAATGGTGTTACATCAAGGTTCAAACCAGGTGTCTATACATCAAAGATCAAACCAAATGTTGTTACATCAAGGATCAAACCAGGTGTCTATACAGCAAAGATCAAACCAAATGTTGTTACATCAAGGTTCAAACCAGGTGTCTATACATCAAAGATCAAACCAAATGTTGTTACATCAAGGATCAAACCAGGTGTCTATACAGCAAAGATCAAACCAAATGTTGTTACATCAAGGTTCAAACCAGGTGCTTGTACATCAAAGATCAAACCAAATGTTGTTACATCAAGGATCAAACCAGGTGTCTGTACAGCAAAGATTAAACCACATGTTGTTACATCAAGGATCAAACCAGGTGCCTGTACATCAAAGATCAAACCAAATGTTGTTACATCAAGGATCAAACCAAATGTTGTTACATCAAGGATCAAACCAGGTGCCTGTACATCAAAGATCAAACCAAATGTTGTTACATCAAGGATCAAACCAAATGTTGTTACATCAAGGTTCAAACCAGGTGCCTGTACAACAAAGATCAAACCAAATGTTGTTACATCAAGGTTCAAACCAGGTGCTTGTACAGCAAAGATCAAACCAAATGTTGTTACATCAAGGTTCAAACTAGGTGCCTGTACATCAAAGATCAAACCAAATGTTGTTACATCAAAGATCAAACCAAATGTTGTTACATCAAGGTTCAAACCATGTGTCTGTACAGCAAAGATCAAACCAAATGTTTTTACATCAAGGATCAAACCAGGTGCCTGTACATCAAAGATCAAACCAAATGTTGTTACATCAAGGATCAAACCAAATGTTGTTACATCAAGGTTCAAACCAGGTGCCTGTATAGCAAAGATCAAACCAAATGTTGTTACATCAAGGATCAAACCAGATGCCTGTACATCAAAGATCAAACCAAATGTTGTTACATCAAAGATCAAACCAAATGTTGTTACATCAAGGATCAAATCAGGTGCCTGTACATCAAAGATCAAACCAAATGTTGTTACATCAAGGATCAAACCAAATGTTGTTACATCAAGGATCAAACCAGGTGCCCGTACATCAAAGATCAAACCAAATGTTGTTACATCAAGGATCAAACCAGGTGCCTGTACATCAAAGATCAAACCAAATGTTGTTACATCAAGGATCAAACCAGATGCCTGTACATCAAAGATCAAACCAAATGTTGTTACATCAAGGATCAAACCAAATGTTTTTACATCAAGGATCAAACCAGATGCCTGTACATCAAAGATCAAACCAAATGTTGTTACATCAAGGATCAAACCAGGTGCCTGTACATCAAAGATCAAACCAAATGTTGTTACATCAAGGATCAAACCAGGTGTCTGTACATCAAAGATCAAACCAAATGTTGTTACATCAAGGATCAAACCAGGTGCCTGTACATCAAATATCAAACCAAATGTTGTTACATCAAGGATAAAACCAAATGTTGTTACATCAAGGTTCAAACCAGGTGCCTGTACAACAAAGATCAAACCAAATGTTGTTACATCAAGGATCAAACCAGGTGTCTGTACAGCAAAGATCAAACCAAATGTTGTTACATCAAGGTTCAAACCAGGTGCCTGTACATCAAAGATCAAACCAAATGTTGTTACATCAAAGATCAAACCAAATGTCGTTACATCAAGGTTCAAACCAGATGCCTGCACATCAAAGATCAAACCAAATGTTGTTACATCAAGGATCAAACTAGGTGCTAAGACATCAAAATCAAGCGAAGTGATATCCCTAGTCAAGCTGGTATTCGTGAAATATACAGGTAAAACAATTTAGCGATCTGATTGGCCAGTCACCTTTTTGTAAGAACCCACACAAGTCGACTGGCCGGTCTGTGTAGACATGATGACGTCATAGTTTGTTGTAATGTCACGTAGTTTACCGAACACAACTCTTTGTAAACTGTGAACTAGTCATGACGAATGCGTAACATGTGTCAGTAGCGGGGTGTACGGGGTTTAGAGCAAGACACCCGAACCTTTTCGCGAACACTTGGTGTCGTCACTGATTTTCAGTGATTCATTCCGGATAACTTCAGTATAACCTCTATTTTGCCTTTTACACCCAACGGAAACTGTTTCGTCGTAGACTGGTTATCCTCTGGTGTTGACGTTTTATAGTAATGAGCCGAAATGGTTAACTTTTTCCTTATGTCGAGTCATAATCCAACAACAACAACAACAACAACAACAATAATAATAATAAGTGCATTTATCATGCGCCAGATTCCATTCACCAAGTGGATGCTCATAAGGCTACACTATTATTACCCCGGTCAATGGATCAGTAACCACTCAATTTTCATTCTCAGCTCCCTGGGGAGTATACAACCCAAGCTGCCTGTGAGGCGCTAGAAGGTTAACAGCCACATTACCATCTCATTCTACCGGGTACCCACTCACTGCTGGGTGAACAGAGGCACATTTCGAACAAAGTCACTTGCCTAAGGAGACACCACATGTTGTATATGCGCTTCAGTGTGAAGCAGGACCGAAGCCCTAGAAACTCTCAGGAGTCAAGCTGCTTAACGTGGTCACCCATCCAACAGCTACAGCCTTTGGTGTCTACATTTCATATCTTTCTACAAAGATTCTCTTTATCGAAGATTTCAAAGAGCGTCATTCGACTCTTGCTCAGAAACTGTTGCTTTCAAGACGTTTTATGTGGAGAACGTTTCCAAATTTGACGCATCATGTCCGATGCAGTTCCCTATTTTGACTTGTACGATATGGTCCCGTTTATTTTGTCGGATGAACAATTGACTTACCTTTGCATGTGTTTGTGACAGGTGCCACTGGTGGGGCAGCATTCGCTCACCTCTTTTTGGACACCTGGTATCATCACCTTTTGATAATGATTCATAAACAAACATTTATGATATAGTCGGACTCGTATAATGCTTTTAGCGGAGATTTGTAAAATTATTTAAAAGTGTTTTGTCGATCTTACTATCATACACCACGACACCGAAGGTCGCACACCCGCTACTGACACATGTCACTCATTATATGGGGAGGATTAGTCGTATATTTCATAATGCGTCAATAGAAAAATAAACGCATGTGAAGTTTTAACGAACGCATCAGAAACGCACAGGCAAATCATAGGAAGTATTCCGTGTCATACACCTCCTCTCCTTCCTTGTAACTAACTCCTTTGGAGGGGGATCTAAATCAGTCAGACAACAACACTTTTTTGACGTTGTGTACCTGATGACCCCTGTCATTCGTACATCATACGTACATCGTCCAGATCCGCCTTGCACACTTACATCGGCATGGTTGTTGAAAAACAAGACTTCAAAAGGGAAAATAGTTGACTCGCAATGCTTAAGTAAACGTTTTGATGTGTTACAGATATGGTTCAATAACGAACGAGTGCGCCAGCCTTCTCGAAACAAAGTTTTAGGATATGCCATGATGAAGCAAAAACTGTGTCCTTGTGCGCAGGAGGTGATACGGTACATGCGGAATGTAGCCACAGAGTTAGGAGCCATAAAATGCCATTGTTAGAGAACAAGAGACGCTTCACAGCCAGTGCCTGGGAAACACGGGAATGTTTTGGCATGTTTCGCTTGAGGAAGACCATGTATGTTTTATATTGTGAACTAGTAGATGGGGTGTTCCTGAACGACTGCCGCATCGTGAACACCGACGTACCCAGGACATCCCGATGACAGCAACAATGCCTCATCCCTGTTGCATACAGGCTGATGGAGAACTAAGCCGACTTATAGACAGGCCGGCATTTGTGTGACATGGCGTGTGCACCGCGAACATGATCACAGATTGTTTGGCATTTTAACATTTCTACTCTGTGCCTAAGTTTGTTCAAATGAACTATTTCCATTGAATGATGTTCATAACATGTTCCTTAATTTCTTTGCAGCCGTAGATATATGTGTGATTTACAGCGGTGTGTGTTAGGAGATTATGTCATATTTAGAAGTTGCTTTCGTGATTAAGTAGAGACAGAGAGAGTTCTGAAGCAGTAACTGCATCGCTAGTAGTCAGAAGAACAGCTTAACATATGATGAGGCCATAGAAGGAACATGAACTTGTATACGTTCCACTTGTCTCTGTTGAGTGGAATATTTCATTAGATAACACTGTATCGAGTGAGTGAGTGAGTGAGTGAGTGAGTGAGTGAGTGAGTGAGTGAGTTGGGTTTAACGCCGCTTTTAACAATATTACAGTTATATCGCGGCGTGTCAGCTTAATGTGGGAGGAAAGCCCGAAGTGATGCAGGTCACAGACGTTTACCACTTCGGTGAAACCCACGAGCACGGGTATGGTGCTGACAAACCTAGAAACATAATCGGGGCGAACCGGGATTCGAACCCACAATCATAGGTTTCTGGCGTGCCCAAGGGACGCAACTCTGCACAGCGAATCGCGGCGCCTTAGACGACTGGGCCACCCGTGCCCCCCTGTATCGAGACATGTATGAGCATGTGTTTATGAATCGCTATCAAATAGTGATGATACAAGGTGTTCGCGCAAAAGGTGAGCGTATCCTGCCCCACCGGTGGAACCTGTCACAAACACATGCAAAGGCAACATGAAAAAACCCACGGGGACTTATGCTGCAAGTCAAATTAGGGAATTGCATCGGACATCGTTGTTGTCACTGATGCGTCAGGTTTGGAAATGAACAATTCTATCAAAAACAGACTACTTCCTGCAGAATAAAAGGAAACATATTGTTCAATTAGGAAAGACAATATACAGATTAAAAAATATAAAGATTACTTATGGTTCCTTCCAACACAATATGATGTGTAGATGTGACCTATTTCTTGTTGATGCTCATAGGAAGTGTTGTCAACAGTGGCTACGCGTATTGTTTGTTTGTTTGTTATTTAACGCCGCATTCTTCACGACAAACTAAAGTGTCACTTCTAAGTACAGTGAAACCTCGTTAACCCAGACGTCCCACATGCAATCGTCTGGAATGACATGTGTCCGCATATTCGAGTCTTCGTTACCTTTGCACATGTGCTACTCAAAAGAAGTTAAAGAACAAACGATTCTTTCATATCCCTGTAGTTACTCTGTCACGCCAGTTCGTTAACTTTTGAGTATTATATGTACATGTTCCTCAAAGTAATCGTCCCAAAAAATAATGTCTGGATAAGCGAGGTTTCACTAAACATGTATCTACCAGGTGAACGTCCACAACGTTCACGTTCAGTTGTTGTTTAACACCACACTGTGTGATGCCTGCCTTTATATAATCGAACGACGCAATCCAGTGGCTGATATTGTGAGCACCGACCCCCGAAGTTGTGATACGATGACATGAAAGGAAAGTCGTCTCCTCGGACCAGCATAGATTACAGGGGACCTCTTTTATACTACAACCCCTCGAAGATTGTAAATCAACTTATAAAACGACATATTTGACCATGTGACCATGGAAAGATTACAACTGAAACAGTGACAGATTTGTGGTCCAGGGGTGAAAGTTAGAAGATTAATTTTAGTGAATTGTTGCAGTTTGGTATAATCTATAAGCCAGCAGGGCAGTGCAATACGACATTGAGTCAAGACGCCACCTGGCATACAAGATGTGGCCTCGGAGTGAATCATACTGTATGTATAGCATGTACCGGTAGGTACGTCAGCACTCAACATCCCGGTACACAGGAGCTCCCCCACCATCCCGTGAACTACGTCTGCAGGGGTAAAAATGAGGAAAGTTGAAGTTTTACACGGAAGCGGGTTGGGCTGGGAAGCGAAAGACAAAACGTTTTGTCTTTATGTGGGATGCTTGTAGATTTTTTGACATTACATTTAGGAACTTATCCTTCTGCAAGAAATTATGTCATACAATATTAAGTGTAACAAGCTGTTTTGGAGTTTGATAGCGAAATATATTGTAAGGAAAAACGTTTTGGCAATAGGGACATAGCTTGCCGTTTGAGTTATGTATAGGTGTGGATAATTATTTTTAAATCGGATTGAAACAGGCAGAATGTACTTGTACTGTACTGTACTGTACTGTACAACGTCCTTTCCATATACACATACAGACAGCGGACAATAAAACTTTGAAATATATAAAGTGCTGACACAGAGCGATACTTCAATGAAAATATTAACATTTTAAAATTACTAATTAATTAAATTGCGCTATACAAATGCATACATTATTATTATTATTATTATTGTCACACATGAAGGTGGTCTCACACACACAGTGCCACGATGCGGCAGATAACGGTGACAAGCATCTCCACACCTCCACTTGCCAACACTTGCCCGCATGCACACCTCTTGAAACACCGAGGGGGGCACCGCGTCCCCCCTATCTCAACTCACAGACCTGGAGGTGGCCAAATGTTGGCATCTGTGACATGTCAAACTGTGACCATCTCAGTGCGCCATAGTTCACTGTGGGCGGGCAGCTACACCTCTGACCTTTGTTCTCGGGCAAAAAGGTCAAATCTCAGAACCTGAGGTGTCCAATCACATTCAATAAATCTAAATGTGCAACAGGAGTAGAGGACAATTCTCTTCGCATGTGTCGAGAACCTGGTTAAAGAATACTTATGCAAACATCACAACAATAAGTAAACCATTTACCTCCATAATTAATTTTTTCATCTAGATATATATATCTTATAATCACGGATACATACATGTTGAAACTGCTAACCTGCTGATTCAACATAGCCCAGATCCAAGGATTCCCAGCTGGATGAGGACACGATATAGTCATTTGGAATACCAGGCCAATATGGTGGACTTGTACAAAGGTTTTAAATTTTGTGG